GGCTTTGACATTTTTGAAGCGTAAGTGCATCTTCCACTGCTTCATTGCCTTCTTTTATGAGAATTTGTACATTACATGTGCTAACTGATACATTGGTACGTGTTCAGCTCCAGGAAAATCCCGTGCCATCATTTCTTATGAAAAGTACTCTGAACTGCAAGAAAAAGAAGATTATAGTAGTGGCTTAGACAAATATAGAAAATCCAGTAATGCTCCTCTCAAGACTGTTGCAGGATGATACGAACACCTGCAGATTAATCAATTCACAACCAACCAACAGCAATTCTCACACAAAATATACCAACATACAACCAATCCACACCCAAAAATATATCAGAAACAGCAAGGGCGATTCCAACAATATTTGAATTAGTCAGATACTTGAATAAAACTGAAGCAAATGCAAGATAGAATAAAACTAGACATAAACCCTGGCGTTTCGAGGAGCCAGGAGCCTCCACTATTTTATCAACAAAAATACAGATCCTTGATATTACTACTCTCCCTGAATATATACTAATCCTCTTTCCACAATTACCCTCACAAACACAATTTGTATTCTCACAACAGACTTCTATCTATGACACCTATTCTTTGTGGTCCCTACTCCCTTAACAACCTTACTAATGTCTTTTGTGCCCCTTACGGTTGTAGACTTTATGCACTGCTGGTTTATCACAGGACCTAAAAAGGGTGAGCAAATTTAAATTCTATAATATGTATAATTCTAGAGGTTAATGACTATTTTAAAATTATCTTTTATACTAATGTATGTCTCTTGTGTTTTCTAAATCTTATCTTTGAATGTTGCAGGAAGGATGGTTTTACCTTTTGAGCCTCTAACTTTAACTTTTCAGGATGTGCAGTACTATGTGGATGCCCCTCAGGTAATCATGCTAAAGCTAGTTTTCCTTTAGATTTTTAAGTAGTCTGAATATTTAAGGCTTATGCTGCAATTTTATCATAGGAAATGAAAAAGCGAGGTTTTGAGGATAAATGCTCCAGCTTGTTTCGGATATTACTGGTGCATTCAGGCCTGGTATTCTTACAGCATTAATGGGTGTCAGTGGAGCTGGAAAAACAACTCTTATGGATGTTCTGTCTGGAAGGAAAACTGGTGGCACTATTCAAGGAGAGATAAGAATTGGTGGATACCCAAAGATTCAAGATACATTTGCAAGAATATCTGGTTATTGCGAGCAAAATGACATACATTCTCCGCAAGTTACTGTTGAAGAATCAGTAATATATTCTGCTTGGCTGCGCCTTTCACCTCAGATTGACTCAAAAACTAAAGCTGTATGATATCCTTCTGGTGCTTATTTAGCATTTGGTCTCGGATTGATCATTGAGATTGAGTTTCACTGAAATATCTTTCGACTTTGCACCCAGGCATTTGTAAATGAAGTCCTTGAAACTATTGAGCTTGATGAGATCAAAGATTCTCTGGTAGGTTTGCCGGGAGTTAGTGGCTTATCGACTGAGCAACGAAAACGGCTGACCATAGCTGTTGAGCATGTTGCAAACCCTTCCATCATATTCTTGGATGAACCCAGTTCAGGTTTAGATGCAAGAGCAGCTGCAATTGTTATGAGAGCAGTGAAGAATGCTGTTCAAACAGGAAGAACAGTTGTTTGCACCATCCACCAACCAAGCATAGACATCTTTGAGGCATTTGATGATGTAATTAATATTAGAGCTTACTTTCACTTTATGCATTCTATTTGGCTACCTTCGTTGCCTGCTCCAATGTATATATCTATGATGACAATTCTAATACCTCTTGATCTCACTGCAGTTGATTTTAATGAAATCTGGAGGACGAATTATCTATTGCGGGCCACTGGATCTGCACTCAAGTAAGGTTATTCAGTACTTTGAGGTAAGTTTCTTCAGCAAGTTTTGTAACTACAAGACAAATTTTCCATCTTTGCTTTTTAACATAGTAATATCTGGTCTCTGCCAAACTACAATTATTGGCCCTAATTCCATTTTCTTGTCATTCTTGCAATAGAATATCAGTGGGGTGCCCAAGATTAAGGACAATTATAATCCAGCAACGTGGATGTTAGAGGTTACTTCTAAGTCTGTGGAAGCTGAACTTCAGGTTGATTTTGCACAAATATATAACGAGTCCAACTTATCTCAGTGAGTACAAATTATGGGTTGACTTTATTAAATCTCAGCCTATGAGCACTTGTTCTGTAAATCTGTGTACCTTTTCTCAGCAAAATGCATCATATGAATCATTTTTCGTGGGTGATTGACCAATACAAATTAAGAGAATATAGTATAGATTTGTAGATGATATTTACTTAACCGAAATCGTTGAAATTTAGCTTGTACATGACTCTCTTGCTCTATGCAGGGAGAACAAAGAGTTGGTTAGGAGATTGAGTTCGCCTTCTGGTTCAAAGGACTTGCATTTTCCTACCCGTTTTCCACAGAATAGTTGGTGGCAGTTCAAAGCATGCTATTGGAAACTGCATTTGTCTTACTGGAGAAGTCCTCCTTACAACTTGGCACGCATCCTTTTCGTAACTGCTTTATCTCTGCTGAGTGGCATACTGTTTTGGCAGCAAGGAAAGAAAATGTTAGTCAATTCAATCTTATTGATGTTGGCATATGAATAATCAGCTGGTAGCTTGTGCTAAGTGCCAGCTGCACTGTTTCAACAACTAATTGAGAATTTTTGTAACCAATCACTCTCAAGTCTCAGTGTAGATAAATTCCAGAAATATTGTTGGAATGTGAATACTTTTTGGTAGTTTATGAAGATTTTTAGGAGAATTTCAGTTTTAGGCGAATTTCTATTTTAGGAGTTTGTATTGGAGAATATTTGTTTTCCTTTACTTTGAGTTGTATTGGGAAAGTAGAATTGGTTTAGGACCTTATTTTGAGTTAAAATATGAGAATAAATTAAATAAAAGGAGTCATATTCGGATTTGAAATATGAATCCTGGTAGAAAAATAATGTCCTATCTTGTCGATAAATATAGGGGTTAGAGCCAATTCATAATTATAAGAGAAACTATGTGAAAGAGGGAATGAGAAGATGTGAGAAGGGGTATTAAACACTGTAAGAATAGAATGTCTGCCTATATAATGGGTTGATGGTGTTATGCTTATAGAACACCATAGGGTATAGTTCTCGCCTTATAGGTTGATGGTGTTATACACTCTTGTATCGTGTTTATAAATTTATAATGAATTTCTCTCATCCGTGGATGTAGACAAGTTATATCGAACCATGTAAATATTGTGTTTATGTGTGCAATATCATGTTTATGTGTGTGTGATATTCTTCGCACATTGCTATTTTTTATTTTATTTTTTTATCTCTCTAATACAGTATCAGAGGCAGCTTGTTTTTTCTTGGTTTCTGAAATTCTAACAAATAGATACCTTTTATTAAATATGTAATTCAGTAAAATACAGAAAAAAAGATTTGCATGGTCTTAGCTAAGCTAGTACATACAGGACAAAGCTTACAAACAATATATTCAGAAACTTAAGAAATAGTGTACTAGAATGACAAGATTTAGTTGCACAAAAGATGAGACACAATCTGCATGGTCGGTCTCGACTGTGGATTTGCATCTAAGCATAAAAAGGCCACATCCATGATGGAAATTAGTTTGTTTTGAACTTCCAAGGAGGGAAATGGAAGCCTTGGATCCAACATATCGTCAAGCTCAATGTTCATGTTTGCAGATGAACCTAAAAATGGGGCGAGAACATCTCCAGGATGCTTCCCTAGGATGACTTCCAATGCCAATACTCCAAAGCTATACACATCACATTTCTCGCTCACATTCATTGTGTAAGCAAGCTCTGCAAAGTAAAAGAAATATGATATCTTTACATTGATTATCCAATAAGGGTACTGTAAAATGATAGTGAAGGAATTATATACCTGGTGCAACATATCCACATGTGCCTACAAGTTGAGTCCAATTAGTTGAGTCTGGCTTGAGAAGCTTAACAATTCCAAAATCTGAGACATAAGCTACATATTCCATATCTAACAACACGTTCTTGCTTGATATGTCACGATGGACAATTGGTGGGAAGCAATCATGGTGCATGTAAGACATGGCATGAGCCACACCTTTTATGACATTCACTCTCTTACTCCAATCTAGCACTACTGCTCCTGCTTCATTGCTCAAAATTGTGGCCAAGCTACCCCTCTCAAGATACTTGTAGACTAAGAATGAGTGTCGAGAATGTGAACAAAAACCAAAAAATTGCACGATATTTCGATGCCTTATCTCTGTCAATACCTTTATTTCGTTTAGGAACTCTTTTTGGTTGTCTATATCACCTGTATACGTAGAGTGCATTTTCTTAACTGCTACAATATTCTCCGGTGATAACTCAGCTTTGTAAACACTTCCATGACTACCTTTCCCAATGAAGTGGCTAGCATCAAAATCATTTGTTGCTAACATGCTTTTTTCATACATTTGTCTTCCTTTAAAAGTTGACATTGAATGAAATTCTTCATTGTTCATAACACTTTCTTGATCTTGTGAGTCTCTTTTCATTCTTTTGGAATTAAAGAGTATATAGATCACCACAACCGAAAGAGCAAGAGCTCCTAGAAGAGGGAAAAACATTATAAAAAAGATTCTCAAACCCTTTTTCAGGCCATGTTTTGTTGTAGGTAATGAAGTTTTGCAAGGTCACAACCCTCTAACATCACCACACAAATCTTTGTTCCCTCGCAATTCTTCGATGGTAGCATTTCGAAATGCTGTGGTGTTTGGAATTGGACCCTACAACTCATTGTCATATATGTTAACACTCAACAAGTGCATCTTCTCAAATTCTCTTGGAATGAAACCAGATAGGTTATTGTGAGAGATATTAAGATTCTGCAGGTCCTCTAAATCACAGATTTCAGAGGGTATCTTTCCATTGAGGAAGTTATGACTCAAATCTAGCTCTGTTAGCAGACTTAGCTTCCCCAACTGAGGTGGAATTTCTTGGATAAACTAGTTGTTGCTCAAATTCAAGTAAAACATTTTCAACAAGTTCCCAAGACTTCCAGGGATTGGAGTGCTCAACCTGTTTGCAGACAAATCAAGACTCTTAATTTCAGTGAGTAATCCAATTTCCGGAGGTATACCACCAATAAGTTGATTGCCATTCAGATTTAGACGCTCTAGAGAAGTTAAATTTCCAAATTCTTTTGGAATCTCTCCAACCAGATGATTTGAAGAAAGATCAAGAATGTCTAGTAGAGTTAAGTTCCCAAGTTCAATTGGTATACTGCCAGTAAGATTATTCTCTGCTATCTTTAGGGTGCCTAATTTTGGACACTTTCCCCAGCTAGATGAAATTTCACCAGAAAATTTATTATGACTGAGATCTAGTAAATCTAGCTTTGGATAGATGCCAAATTCTTCAAGTATATTGCCAACAAGTTGGTTTCCTTGTAAAAGGATTCTTGTTAGGCTTGTGCAATTTCTCAAGTCTTTGGGAATTGGACCAAAAAAATTGTTGTTTTTCACACTAAACCTCTCAAGTGAACCACCATGACATACATTATGGGGTAAAGAACCGGTGAAGCCGTTATGGTCTATTTCTAATATAGTCAAACTCATGAAATTTCCAATTTCCTGGGGAATGGTACCAGAAAGATTGTTTTCACGAAGGAATAAGATCTTTAAGTTGCTCAGATTTTTAAAGGAATCAGGAATAGAACCACTGAGTAGATTTTGGCTTAACTATAAATCAACAAGGTTTCTCAGGTTCCCGATTTCAGGGGGAATATAGCCAGAAAGTTGATTATTGTATGAATGAAGATTGAGGGGATTTCTCAAGCCTCCAAGAGACGGTGGAATTGAACCTGAAAGATTATTGCTATGAAGACTAATATTAGTGAGAGACTCCAAATTTCCTAATTCTTGAGGAATGGAACCAAAAAGCTGGTTGTGGAACATGTGCAAGACTTCTAGGTTTCTAAGGTTTCCAAGACTTGACGGGATTGAACCAGTTAAGCTATTGGTATCAATGTAAAGTTCGACCAAATTCAAGAGGTTTAACATCTCTGAAGGAATGGAACCAAAAAGTGAATTATTAAAAAGATACAACAAAGCCAAGTTGCTCAAATTTCCCAAAGAAGCAAGAATTGAGCCGACCAAGCAGTTACTATACAGAGCCAGTTCACTAAGAGAACTTAGTTGGCCTATTTCTTTTGGAATTGAACTATCCAACTGATTCTCAACCAGGTGGAGTGTCTCAAGATATGTAAGGAGACCGATTTCAGTTGGTATTTTCCCAGAAAACTGATTAGTTGACAAGTCAAGATACTTCAGTTTGGAGAGATTACGAATTTGTGTAGGGATAACTCCAAAGATTCATTAATGGAAAGATCAAGATATGTAAGATGAGGAATTGATGAGAATGACAATTCATTGAGCGTACCTTTTAAACCTATAGTAGACAGGTTCAATCTATGGATGCTTCCAGCATGGTCACAAGAAACTCCAACCCAATTAGTACAATGGTTTATTTTGGTTCTGTGTTGAGTAGAATTATTGGTAGCATTAACAGGATAAAGAGACCATGAAGAGAGGACAAAATGGGTCTGGTTTTGAAGGCTGGCTTTCCATTTAAGAAGAGCTTGTGCTTCTTGAGTGGAATCAAAAGCAACATTTAGTTGAAAATCTAGTACGACAAGGAGACTTAAGAAAATAAGGGAGAGTTTATTGGGGTATGAGAATGCCATTGCTTAAACTAGCTAAGTTTGTGTACTGCAAAGCCTAATTCGAAACTCCATATTTATAAAACGAATCTAGCACTTTTTGAGCTTGGAAAATGTCAGTGCACCATCTTTCACTCTACATTCTAATTTGTTACTTTGTAGAGTCAACCCTACGTATAAAAATGGTTTCACGAAACAATCTTTGATGTGGACATAATTAATTGTTTTTGTTCTTGATCCAGGATAAAAGACACTCTAGGATCTTATATTTTCACAACAGAAAATCCTAATTTCTTCACCAGGATAAATACTGAAGTAACGAAAAAAGTAAGAATAACGTTTAAGTTTCTTTCACCCCAATTTTCAAAGTAGCGTGTTATGCTTCCACAGTGACCATAATTATAAATTAAACCAAGGGAGACTTTGATGCCCACTATTCTGTCTCAAAAATCTTAATTTGTAAAATGTAATCTTTCAATATCATAAACCACAATTTATTATTATTTTTTTTTTATTTTTTTTTTAAAGACAATGACTTACACAACTTTATAAAAATAAAAATCTATCAACCATTCCAAGTCTAGGTCTTTCTCTCTTTATTGGATGCCTTTTCAAAGAAGTTTGATTATTTTAGAGGTAGGTCCTCTTTGATTATATGCTTCTTGAAAGATGATTTCCCTTGAAATTAATTATTCAAAAGTGAAATTCTTCGAAAGTCTCTGATCGTTAATGCATGCAGTAAGGCAAAGTCAACAACACGATGCTTGAAAACTACCCCAAACAAAGCCATAATCCCGGATAGGAACACTATTTTTAAATATGAATAATCAGCTGGTAGCTTGGAACACTATTTTTAAATATGAATAAGCAGCTGGTAGCTTGTGCTAACTGCTAAGTGCCAGCTGCACTATTTCAACAACTAATTGAGAATTTTTGTAACCAATCACTCTCAAGTCTCAGTGTAGATAAATTCCAGAAATATTTTTGGAATGTGAACACGTTTTGGTAGTTGATGAATATTTTTAGGAGAATTTAAATTTTAGGCGAATTTCTATTTTAGGAGTTTGTATTGGAGAATATTTGTTTTCCTTTACTTTGAGTTGTATTGGGAAAGTAGAATTGGTTTCGGACCTTATTTTGAGTTAAAATAGGAGAATGAATTAAATAAAGGGAGTCATATTAGGATTTGAAATATGAATCCTGGTAGAAAAATAATGTCCTATCTTTCCGATAAATATAAGGGTTAGAGCCAATTTATAGTTATGAGGGAAACGATGTGAAAGAGGGAATGAGAAGATGTGAGAGAAGGGGTATTAAACACCATAGGAATAGAATGTCCGCCTATGTAATGGGTTGATAGTGTTATACGTATAAAACACCATAGGGTATAGTTCTCGCCTTATAGGTTGATGGTGTTATACACTCTTGTATCGTGTTCATAAATTTATAATGAATTTTTCTCATCCGTGGATGTAGGCAAGTTATGTCATACCACACAAATATCGTGCTTATGTGTGTGTGATATTCTTCACACATTGCTATTCTTTATTTTATTTTTTTACCCCTCTAATTTCTAACATGGTATCAGAGGCAGCTTGTTTTTTCTTGGCTTCTGAAATTCTAACAAATATGATAACTTTTATTAAATATGTAATTCAGTAAAATACATAAAAAAAAGATTTGTCTGGTCTTTGCTAAGCTGGTACATGGAAGACAAAGCTTACAAACAATATATTCAGAAACTTAAGAAATAGTGTACTAGAATAACAAGATTTAGTTGCACATAAGATGAGACACAATCTGCATGGTCAGTCTAGATTGCGGATTTGTATCTAAGCATAAAAAGGCCACATCCATATGGAAATTAGTTTGTTCTGAACTTCCAAGGAGGGAAATGAAAGCCTTGGATCCAACATATCGTCAAGCTCAATGTTCATGTTTGTAGATGAACCTGAAAATGGGGCAAGAACATCTCCGGGATGCTTCCCTAGGATGACTTCCAATGCCAACACCCCAAAGCTATACACATCACATTTCTCGCTCACATTCATTGTGTAAGCAAGCTCTGCAAAGTGAAAGAAATATGCTATCTTTACATTGCTTATCCAATAAGGAACTGTAAAACGATAGTGAAGGAATTATATAATTGGTGCAACGTATCCACATGTGCTTGCAAGTTGAGTCCAATTAGTTGAGTCTGGCTTGAGAAGCTTAGCAATTCCAAAATCTGAGACATAAGCTACATATTCCAATCTAGCAACACGTTCTTGCTTAATATGTCACGATGGACAATTGGAAGGAAGCAATCATAGTGCATGTAAGACATGGCATGAGCCACACCTTTTATGACATTTGCTCTCTTACTCCAATCTAGCACTACTGCTCCTGCTTCATTGCTCAAAATTGTGGCCAAGCTACCCCTCTCAAGATACTTGAAGACTAAGAATGAGTGTCAAGAATGTGAACAAAAACCAAAAAATTGCATGATATTTCAATGCCTTATCTCTTTCAATACCTTTATTTCATTTAGGAGCTCTTTTTGGTTGTATATCACTTGTATACATAGAGTGCATTTTCTTAACTGCTGTAATATTCTACGGTGATAACTCAGCTTTGTAAACACTTCCATGACTACCTTTCCCAATGAAGTGGCTAGCATCAAAATCATTTGTTGCTGATATGATTTTTTCATACATATGTCTTCCTTTAAAAGTTTATATTGAATGAAATTCTTCATTGTTCGTAACACTTTCTTGATCTTATGAGTCTCTTTTCATTCTTCTGGAATTAAAGAGTATAAAGATCACCACAACCGAAAGAGCAAGAGCTCCTAGAATAGGAAAAAAACATTGTAAAAAAGATTCTCCAACCCTTTTTCAGGCCATGTTTTGCCACAGGTAATGAAGTTTTGCAAGGTTGCAGCCCTTTGACATCACCACACAAATCTTTGTTCCCTCGTAATTCTTCAATGGTAGCATTTCGAAATACTGTGGTGTTGGGATTTGGACCCGACAACTCTTTGTCAGACATGTTAATACTCAACAGGTGCATCTTCTCAAAATCTATTGAAATGAAACTGTTGTGATTTTCGCAAGTGTATGAAATCTTGTATGTACTAAAGTGTAAGTATACAGATGTCAAACACAAGAGAATTACTACTATAAATTACCAAACTAAACTATCCTATTACTATTTGATCAATCCAAATTTTATCAAGAAAAATCTAAATTAAAAAATAAACAATCGAAATTAAATAAAAAAAACTGAAAAGAAAACACTAAATAAATCTTTGGTTTTAATGCATGATGACTAGACCTAAGGCATAGATTTCACACCAACTGTTATTCATATGTATTGATAACTTATGCTAATTTCATTAAGCTCTTCCTACATGTCAAAGTCTCTAAGTTTCTAATAATTTTCTCTCAAACAATTATCAAATTAACCCCTAATTATTAGACCGAATTATCTCTAATCAGATTTAAACAATTGGATATCATTACACTCTATGAAGTTTACCAAAACCTCATAAATCGCGGTAACCTATATCTAGCGTTCGCTCAACCTATGGTTTTACTACCGTAGACCAACTAAGTATATATCATCTCTTGATCTCGACTTAGTCCATTATTTCATTCAATTCTTGGGCTCTTAAGAATAAAAATTATTTGGCATAATAATACAACTGTCTTTCGTTCCTTGCATTTTTCTCCACCACCATGCAAAAAATCAGATCGAACGGATAACCGGGGAAAAGATTGTCCCTCGGTGTGTTGTACGCCCCTACCGTGCACGAAAGGAAGGTTTTCCCTGCACACCAAGGGCGTGCACAACAAGTGTACACACCATAATTCAAATGGGGATTTTAGGAGCACAACAAAACAAACCCCGACCCAAAATGCATAGTGTACGATTTTTTACGATTTTCCAAAGTTTTAGGCTCCGTTTGGTTCACTTTTTTACATTTTTTAGAAAAGTTTTTTGAAAAAAGTTAAAAAAAGTTAAATTGAGCGAGGATTACGATGTAGGATTTGGAAATTAATAAATACCCACTATGTTTGTTTATTTACTAAACACCCCTATAATAAAACATTAAAAGTTAACAAAAATACCCTCAATCCACCCATTAAATACGGACAGCCAGCCACCACCGCCAGAAGGTGGCCGGAGTCATCCTATCACGCCATGACCGGTTGGATCTTGCCGGTCGTGTGCCAATATGGCCTTTTTCGGCCAGATCAACGATGGATCTGGTCGGCAAAGGCCAGATCTATGGCTAGATCTGGCCATTGACGGCTAAATCTGGCCGCATTTGCTCGTCAATGACAGCCAAAGATACGACCGTCCTTGATGGTCAACGACAACCATATGTTGGCCGTCGTTGACGATCGGCTACGGCCAAGCCACCGTGGATCTGGCTGGAAAAGGCTAGATCAGCGCACTACCGGCCAGATTCAGCCGGTAGTGCACCATTATACCAGATTCCGGCCATCTCCAGGCGATGGTGGCCGAAATTTGGTAAATATGGGTTTCTAGGGTGTTTTTGTAATTTAAAAAAAAATATTTAGGGGTATTTAATTAAATTAACAAATTTAAGGGGTTTAAAAAAAGTTGAATAATATTGAATAATATTGTGAGTTTTTGCAATTTTACCGTTTAACTTTTTTGAGAATACTAATAATAGTATTCCCAAAAGCAAACCAAACGGAGCCTTAATCTTCGAAATTAGTAAGAAATCCTAATAAAAATCAACATAAATAAATCAACACATAATCATCAAGAGATTGGGCTACATCTTAGCCCAAGAAAATAAAATTAGTTCATAGCAATTATGAAAGAAACAATCATATTTATTAAAACAAAAATCATGAGTTTAAGGAGAAACAAAGAAAAACTTCTCTATGATTTTGCTCCAAAAGCTCCAGAAATTCTGATGCTTTTCTTTTTTCTTCTAATAGTTTTCTTCTTGATCTCTCCTAAAAATCCCTTAAAACAATGCTAAAGACTTGTATCTATATCCCACA